ATTTTTCCTTGAATGGTTAAGTACTGGCTTAACAATAATTTAAATAGCTATGCCTGGATTCAATATTCAGAGAAAGTTGAACTACAATCCCAGGGGTTCTTCCTCACATAGCAAGTTCTGCTGTTTATAGCTTGGAGCAGGATGCAAGTGTCTCTCAAGTTAACAGTAACATAGTAAGCTCATAGTAAATAATAATTAATGAAAACATTCATCTCTAGTGCTTATTAAGCATATACAAGGTCTTTCCAAGCTTTCACTAGCTTGAAAACAATCACACAAAGGGATTTTATATGCAAAGTGAATGCATGATAATTCACTAAAAGCCAGAAAGACTCAGGTTACAGTTAGCATGGATAGCTTTATGCCCTGCTTGTCAATTTCTAGGACAAAAAGGAAAATTTCTTGAACTGGAGTCTGTTCATCCAAAGCTTATTCAAAGGTACAACTCATTCAAGTTGCATTTTATCCAGTTAGTTTTCCATAGATTCCAAAATAATCAGTTGTTATACAATTTTACCCTATAATAAATTCCTATACCAAAAAAGCAAACTTTCAAGCCATCTCTCCCATTTGTCTGTGAATGGGGGAAGGAAAATAGTACATGTAGGTCTTAGCCCCTCTGGAATCCAATGATGAAATTGTTGCAGTCTTCAGGTAGAATTTAAAGTTCTCATTATTCAAACACTCCTGAAGTTTCTTCTGTATCACAGAGCTGATAATGTTTACTTTAACCTTACTGAGGCAGAAAATTCAGTTTGGCAAATTTTCAGAGAAGTTCCCATGACAGTGAGTCTTTACAGGGTCTCTTGTACTTTTCCCAATACCAAGGCATTTTTTTCTCTTTTTGACAAACCAAATTACACCCATCTAAATACTCAGGAATGCTGTTAGCCAGAAAAAGATCACTCAGTATTTCAGACACATCTCTAGTAGCTCAATTATAAAATCAGAGCATTCTGATCAAAAAGAGGAGCTAACCCCAAGTGATATAAATGCATCACTCCCTAGGTTTCATCCCACAAATCTGCAGCATTTCAGTACAACGATTTTCAAAATCACAACGCAAGAAACTTGTAAACATAAAAGTAACATGAATCAATATCATGGACTTAGAAAATGAAGCAAGAAACAAAACTTACTGTCAGTCCAATTACATCAATCTAGTTGAATACATCTCCAAATCAGCTACAAGCATAAACTCTTTCCACTTATCTTCCAATTTTGGCATTTTGTACCAGTCACATTCAGGAACCAGTATAGAGTAGTTGTCATTTTTGTTCTCACAGCTACAAAAATGTAGCAGCAGAAGTTATTATCCAGAGGACAGATCAACTATACTGAGAGTAATATTTTCCCCAATTAATTGATCAAACCCAATAAAATTCCAAATTTTAAATTGCTCAGTTTAAAAGTCTGCTACATGATCCCAGTTATTTTTATCATATGCACAAGAATACCAGAATCTGGGAAATCAAGCTTGGAAATCATAAGAAGGTTCAAGACTTCCTGCAGAAGAGAATTACAATTTTCTAAGTAAAGTTCACAGCTTGAAAGGCATTATAATCTTTATCTTCTCCTTTTATCTTAGTGAAGTCAGACCTTCTTTAAACTTCCTGCAATACTTTTCTAAAATTTTTGGATTTTCCTGTGGCCCATCCTGAAGATTCTGATAGCTTAGAAATACAAAGACCTTGTATTTGCCCTGTTGGGGTGAAAAATAATTAGTTCTATTTTCCCTGCTGTTGGGGAATCAAAATTGAGGTGTGTTTTAAATTTTTCTACTTTTAGGAGCATGATTCTAGGGTTGAGCCAATAGCCCACCTCACCCATCAGATGGCCAGGACATGGATCAAACATTTGGTCATAGCTGTGTCGTCATCCAACCTGCATCAAAATCCTTTGATTGTGCCATCTATCAATCCAAAGGGGATCTAGAAACTTCATTAGCAGTGGAAATAAAATGATATCTCAGAACTGCCTTTGGTAAGTTGTCTTGAGTCTCTTGACCATAAGCTCTGGGTGAAATTTCTATGGAAGATTTTGTGGTACAATCAACATCCAAGCTGAGTACTACCAGGTTGAGCTCTATGGAGATAGAGCTAAAGGTGTATATAAAAACCATATTATAAGAAATTAGCATTTGACTTGGCCACAGGCATCATGGTCCAGTTCTTGTAAAACATTTTTTTTCCTGAAAAAGTCAAGACAAGATTATTTTAGCTTCCCAGATTAATTACATAAAACCTTCATGGGTGAATAAGTTCACTGTGATTCCAGTGGGGGTAAATACCCCTTCTTATCCATTAGATGGCCAGGACCTGAGTCAAACATTTGACCACAATTATGCAGTCACCTAATCCACAGATGGTCCCATCAATTCAACAGGAATCTACATCATCGAGTAAAATGATGTTACAGAATTGGCTTTAACAATTTGCCTGACCATAAATGAACCCTATGTGGTGTCTCTAATAAGGCTTGGGCACCTCTGGAAGGTTTTGCAGCAGCATCACTATCTAGCTGAGGACTATCAGGCTGAGCTCCCACCCATATGTGGATACGGGGGGGAGGGTATATTGTATTTTATACATATGTATGTGTGTGTATATTGGATGTAGATCTGAGAATAGATAGATAGATATAATAGATATCATAGAGACAATAGACATAGACAGGGAATCATCTGCATGGAGATGATAATGAGGGATATAATCCCAAATTACTTTCATGAGTGGCTGGACCAATTCAAAGCACTACCAACAATGAATTTATGTGCCTATCCTTCTATAGCCCCTCTCTTGACATTTTTCTTTTTTGGTCATCTTTGCAAGGTAGAACTTAATATTTACAAAACCCAAAAACAGATATATGGATTCACAGGGTCCTGTGAAAGAGTGGAACCACATATCAATTCTCAGGCACAGTGGGAAAGCACCTGGTGTTAGATTCAGAGAACATAGGTAGGTTCAAATACCACCCCTGTTACTATTACCTGTGTGATCAAATTATTTTATTTCCTTGGATCTCAGTTTCTCCATCTCTGAAAATGAGAAGAAGTCAAACTAGGATAACCTCTAAGATCTCTCCCATCTTAAAGTCTAGGATCAACTTATTCCTTTTACCTACCTCATCTTGGGTAAGATCACCATGACCTGTGCAATGATTTTCCTCCAGGAAAAAAAAAAGATAAAATAGAATTTAAAATGTATGATCTTTAGATTATAAGAGCATGGTTGACAAACTGAGTCCTGTATATGCCAAAGGTATTGAGCCTTCTGTCTACACAATGCCTACAGGGCTCTTAGGAGAACCAACAAGAGTTTTTACTGTTTATTGCAATCTCATGACAGCACTTGTCTCCAATGAAGTAAACAACTTACAGTCCTCATCATCATGAATAGTGATTCATCCCTTCTTCTGTTCCCCTCCAATAACTCCTAGCGGCTGGTGTAACCAGAGTAAAACTGAAAAAGTAAAAGATAACTAGTGCTTCATGATGACAAGGCCACCTCTGATGTCCTATCAGGAATAAATGACCTTTTAAGGCACAGTATTAAAATAGGTAGTCTGAGGTAATACATCTTGTTCTGCTAGCATTCCAAGAAGGAGAGTTATTTTGCTGATGGCTAAACTATATTTACTTTTACTTCATTTTTGTTGGGGATTCTCTATTCCTTTTCTCCTACTGGGGAAATGTCTAACTTCCACAACTTTTTAGACTGATTAGTCATGATCTTAGGAGCATTTGAAATTTCTTACTTTTAGATCTTCAGGTCCTCATGAAATCCTAGGAGGATGCAGTAAGTCCCGTGTTACCGTCAGTCAAGGGTCAGAGGCACCAAAGAGGTCCCCAAGTGTAAATGGAATACAAATTAGCTTGGGGATCAAGAATGGGAGACATTTTTCAAATGTATGGCACTGACAACTTTTCTCAGCCTTAGTTTCTTCATCTGTAAGATAAGATTAGCAATAGCACCTATCTCGAGGGGTTGTTGTAATGATCAAATGAAATATAATATATGCAAAGTACATTCCAATCCTTAAAGCACCATGTAAATGTGAACTATTATTATTAACAATGCACAAAGTCCTCAGAGAGTTAATCCAGAGACCATACACTTGAAAATTAATTCTGACTTCCCCATAAACGTGGATGAGGGAAACATCTGAAGGAGTCTCTAAATGAAGTGGGAGTCCCCAGAGTTTAGGAAGCAGGTGGGGGTGTGTTAGGAGAGTTTATATGGAATGGCTAAGTAAAATCTCTAGCTGTGATATTCCAAAGTGACTTTAGAAAGCTTTTCAGTAAATTCTCAAAAAATATTTAAAATTCTCTTTAAATGGGAACACCAAATTTGAGTATATTGAGGTGAAGTGTGACATTCTGGGGTGGAGAGGGGCTCAAAAATGGAAATTAAACACTAGGGAATTTAAAATAAAAACTAAGGCTATAGGAATTATAGTCTCACTTCAAATTGACTAAGATTTTGGCTTTCATCTATGGGAATTTCATACTAACCAGAAAACCAAAAGATAAATCTCCTGGGCGCCCAAGTCTGCTTTTCAGAATGTTGCTAGATTTCCCGGAGGGTGCTTCCTTAAACTTAAGTCTCTGGATAACACAAGACCTTGTGATTTCTTTCTATGATATGTCTGCAATACTGATTTCCCCAATATCAAGGAAACCTATGGCATTAGAACTCTCTTGGTATGAAGACTGGGGGTCATTCTGTCACAAAGCTAGCACTATCCCTTGGGACTTGCTCCCAGAGTTTCAATTTTAAAACAGCGTAAGTATGATGGTAAGCATGCCAAAGGGACTGCTACTATTGTTTTCTTAATAGCCTCGGGACTTTTGTGATGAGGTCTTCTGCTCCTGCTGAGAAGATATCAGACACTCACCTTCACTGGGAGTCGCTTGTGGAAGAAGAGACTACCATTCCTACAAACTGCCAACCAACTGTCACCCAATGGGCAGCCAAGCCAGCCTACATGAAGCCTCAAGGTACCCTGAGGAAGAAAGAAGAGGCATCTATTGCTAAGCAAGTCAAATCACAATAATCATTTGAACACTTTCTCTCCACAGAATCTGATGGAGACAACCTAGGACCCTGACCCCAAAAGCCTTAGAGCAGTGACTCCCAATCAACCAGATCTGCTTCCAGCCCAGAACCCACAGCCATAATTAAGGGGAGAAATCACTTACGTTCTTCACCACTAGCAACAGCTAGTGACTAACTACAGAGCGGCAGAAATGCACAAGATCTCTGAGAGTGGTAGTAAAGATACTACCCAGATCAGCAATCCTGCTGCCAGCCTAGCCATGATCCATTCAAACACTCCTGTGGAGGAGGGGACAGCTATCCCCACCTACTGTCAGTCAACTGCCAGCCATGCTAAAGCAGCAAGGCACCCCAAAGGAGAGGCAAACATGTTTCAGAAAAGTCAAACCTTCATCACCAAAAACAAATCACCTTGAAAACTATTTCTTCTCAAACCTTAATGGAGACAGTGTGGAACCCTGAACTTAAAAGTTTCCGTCCCCCTCCTCTGCCCTTAGGAAAACCACCAAACCCACTTCCAGAATAGGCTCTGATCAAATGTCAACAGGCCCTGGAGTAACATCACCCTCCAGCCCCTACCATAGCCAGCATCAGAGGAATCAACTGCTGTGGAGCAGGGGCAAGCCATCTCCAACAATGGCCACACACAATAGAAGGTTGTAGAGCATGCATCTAAGTTACTCTCACAATATCCCTGGGTTATCTTAACAGGCGAGGAAGCCAAGGCACTAAAAAGTTAAGTGATTTTCCAGGGTTTTCACAGCCTGAATCTATAGTATATGGGCAACCACTGCACTAATTTAAGATCACATCTAGTTAGACTGGTCAATTGTGGGGTATCTGCATAGAGATGCAGTCAGCAGAGACCTGCCCCTCAGGTTGACTTGAGCTAAGCATGCTACCGCTGAGCAATATGACTTAAATTTTTGTATGTTTGGGTTATGCTGAGATTTGTGTAGATCCTAAAAGTCAAAGGCAAAGCTACAGTTAGAATATTGTTGGGTATATCGTTCCAGCATCTAATATTCCCTGCCATTTCAATCCAGGGTAAATATGTATCCAGAATTTGGAAATTAGTTGCCAATCTTTTATGTGAAATTACCATTTAACCCCATGAGAAATTCTACTTAATCACTATTAAAAGTGATGGAAGGTATTAATCATTATTAAACTAAGATTCTACAGTGGATATTTATAATACATGATCTTACTCTATTTCAAAAAAGCATAAAGACATTTATTTCTGTTTTCTCTTGTGGTTATATCATGAATGCCTGGATCTGATTTTTCCAGTTTGTTGACTTGAATTTAACTCTTTAAATTTTATTTTGAAATTTCCTATAATAATTAAGTGTTCATGCCACCATCTCTCCTCAGAAACCGATGGAGACAGCTCCAGACCCCTGAAACCAAGAGGCTTGAGAAGAGCAGTGGTTCCAGAATGGTGCCTTAAGCCAACATCCTGGGAGGCAATTCCTGTGAAGATGCAGCCTAGCAACTGCTTCTGCAGATGCTGTGACCACAGCTACTGAAGACCCAGAGAGGAAAGTTCTGGCCACCAAAGTTCTAGGCACTCTCATATGAGTCAACATAAGAAACTCATATGATTTTATCAGTGGAAATGATTTTCAAAAGGCATCATTTAAATAACATACACAGTCAATTGGGTATGGAAATCTATCTTACACTATAGGAAAATAGGGGGGAAGGGGATAAGAGAGGGGGAATGATAGAAGGGAGGGAAGATTGGGGGAAGGGGTAATCAGAAGCAAACACTTTTGAGGAAGGACAGGGCCAAAGGAGAGAATAGAATAAATGGGGGGTGGGATAGAATTAAGTGAAATATACTTAGTTTTTCACAACACGGCTGTTATGGTTTTGCATGACTACATGTGTATGACCTGTATTGACTTGCTTGCCTTCTCAGTGAGGGTGGGTGGGGAGGAAGAAATGTTAAAAATTGTTTTTACATGCAACTGGGAAATAAGATACACAGGCAATATGGTATAGACATCTCTCCTGTCCTACAGGAAAGTAGAAGAGGAAGTGGATAAGAGAAGGAGGGGGGGTGATAGAAGGAAGGGCAGATCAAGGGAAGGGGTATTCAGAATGCACGTTGTCTGGGGGGGAGGGGAGAGATGGGGAGAAAATTTGAAACTCAAAATCTTATGGAAGTGAATGTTGAAAACTAAAACTAAACTAAACTAAAATAAGTAAAATTAATTTTAAAAAGGCATCATTTAAATCTGCCTTGGTGCTGCACCCTAAGGACCATGATGAACTGACAGATAAAATTTTCCATACATGTTATCTCTTCCATTAAAATGTAAGCTCCTTGAAAGCAGGGACTGTCTTACTTTTCCATTAATATCCCTAGCACTTTCCATATAGTAAATGCTTAATATATGCTTTTTTCCTTCTGTCCTTTTTACTGCCAAACTTCTCTCTTGCCTCCACTTCATTAGTACGTATTCCTTCCTGAACTCTTTGAAACATGGTTACTGCCCCTTAGTGATCCACTCTCTTGACAGCCTTCCCTTATCCTCATTGCCAAATGCAATGATACTTCATTCAGTACTCATTCTGGTATGAAAGGCCCTCCATGCTCTGAGTTAAGTATGTATGCATATACATACATATGTATATATGTGTGTCTGTATATTTTTAATTTTTTTTGTCTTTCCTATTATATCCTTCCCTTCCCCACACAGAGTCATCCATTATAACAAAGAATACAAAAGAAAGAGGGAAATCAGCAGTTCAGAAAAATGAAACAAAAACGTCAGTAAAGTATGACACCTACATAGATTCACACCTCTGCAAAGAAGGGAATGAGATACATTCTTATATCTGTTCTCTGAGGAGAAATTCATTATTCAATTTTGTTATTTGTCGTTACCATCGTATTATTTACATTTACATTGTGGCAGTCGTGTATTTTTTTGGTCTTGGTTTTGCTTACTTCATTTTGTACCATTTCACATGAGTCTTTGGTGATTCCCTGTACTCTTTATGTTCATAAGTTCAGATATAACAGCAATATCTTATTACATTCATGTGCTATAGTTTGTTTAGATTTTCCCCATTCAAAGGACATGTCTCATGAAAAGAACTTTCTTTTCTAGGTCTTTTGTATGTGTATCTGTAGCACCTGCAGTCGCAGTTGCCAGACTGCACCTACACAGGAATTGCTTCTTAAGAAAATGGTTAAGGGCACTGGGCTAGAAACATTGCTCTTCTAAAGACCTTGGGTTCAGAATTCTGTGCTGTCTTCATCAAGATCTGAGTGGAGATTGTGGTCAAAATGGTGGTGGTGGTGGGTTGACTTGCCTGGCACATTCTGTCTCCTGTCTCTCAAGTTGACTGTTGTTTTAGCTTGGCTGGCTTTCCTGGCTTCTGTGTGACAGTTTGCCTTGATTTCTCATCTGTAAAATGAGCTGTGAAAGGAAATGGCAAACTACTTCAGTACCTTTGCCAAGAAAACCCCAAATGGGGTCACAGAGAATGGGACATGACAGAAAAGCAACTGAACCACAACAACAAAGAAGTAGGAGTGAGAACTCCTCCTGGCCTACCTATCCTGTTCCCAATCCAGGCTTCACAGCCATCATCCAAGGAGGCAATTACTGTGGAGAAGAGGCCAGCCATCCTTACCAACCACTATATCAACTGTCACACAGAGACCATAGTTATTCGTCTCTAGGCTAGGATAGATGCTAGAAATGAGATCCTTCTCTGAGCTTGGGGTCTGAACCATATCATTTTTGCTGCTGCTGTCTTTTGAACTTTCTCCTATCTCCATACACTGCCCAAGGCCTCCCTACCAAGGAATACCGTTCTCCTGAATAGGGAACTGAGTAGTGGGCAGCAAAGCTGACAGTTTGCACCTGTCCTCATTGCCATTCTCTGGTATAGGTCTGGAATGGGACCTCCTCTTGCTTTTGACATTGGAAAACTCCATGTACTACTGCCCAAATTTATCCCATATCCACAGAACTCCCTGTCTGTCTCCTTATGCCAACCTGGAATGGACAAAGGATTGTAACTTTTTCTGTATTTCCCCATTAGAACTCCTCCTGGTACATTTTCTAGATCTCTTTGGAAGAGTGTGTAAAGGAGAGCTCACCTCTAACACTGGGTCATCTTGGCTCTGTCTTGTGACAGCTTTCTAATTGTTTTCTCTGCCTCTACCCTTTCCCTTCTTCACTCCATCTCTTACGCTGCTGCCAAATTTGTATGCCTAAAGCACAGGTCAAATAATTTATTTTCCTATTCAAGAAGCTTTAGTGCCTCCCTAATACCTTGAAAAGAAAATACACACATCTCTAGCACTTTAAGCCCTGTATAATCTGGCTCCAATTGGTCTTTTTCAGATCCAATGCAAAATCAGATGCCGAAGAGTCAAAGTTGGCAAGTTAACACTAATTACTCATCAGTCTCACAACTGAACGTCGTTCCTTGCAAGAAGCTTGAAGTTTCTGTCAACCTCACCAATCCTGATATTGTAAGGAATGAAAAAAAAAAAACTATTATGTTTGTGCAACAAACTCTTCTGGAGGGGGTTTTAATGATTATAAACAAAAGATTTGGTCCCTTTAAGAATTAGATCTGTCTGAAACCACTAACTGGGGCCTGGTTTTAAAATGGAGATAAAACCTTAGATTGAATAAACATGACTCTCAAACAAAGAAAATCATTGTAGGAGGTACTCAGTTTAGAGGAGGTTGTGAAAAAGGTAGTGATATATGATAATATTTTTAAAAACCAACTGGAATCAAGAAGGTACTTTTAAAAATGTTTTAATAGTATTTTATTTTTTTCCTAGTTTCATGTCAAGAAAATTTTTAGCTTTCATTTTTACAAGATTTTGAGTTCCAAATTTTTCTCCCTCCCTCCCCTCCCCTCTCTGAAAATGGTAGACATTCTGATATAGTTTATACATGTGCTATCATATAAGACATTTCCATATTAGTCATAGTTATGAAGGAAGAAACAGATTTTTAAAAACCATGAGAAGGAATAAAGTGAAAAAAATGCTTCAATCTGCATTCAGAGGCTAGCAGTTCTTTATCTGGATATTGGTAGTATTTTCCTTCATGAGTCCTTTGCACTTGGATCATTAGGTTGCTGAGAAAAGCTGAGTCATCACACAATGTTGCTGATACTGTGTACAATGTTTTTCTGGTTCTGCTCATTTCACTTTGCATCAGTTTGTGAAAGTCTTTCCAGGATTTTTTGAAATCTGCCTGTTCATCATTTCTTATTGCATAATAGCATTCCCTTACATTCATATACCACAGCTTGTTCAGTCATTTCCCAGTTCATGGGCATCCCTTCAATTTCCAATATTTCATCACCACAGAAGGGGCTGCTATACATATTTTTGCATATTTAGGTCCTTTTCCCTTTTTTATGATCTCTTTGGGATACAGACCTAGTAGTGGTATTGCCAGATGAAAGGATATGCAAGGTTTTGTTGCCTTTTGGGTAGAGTTCCAAATTGCTCTCCAGAGTGGTTGGATCTGTTTACCACTCCACTAACAGTGCATTACTGTCTCAATTTTCCCACATCCTCTACAACATATATCATTTTCTTTTCTTTTTTTTTTTTGGTTGTATTGGCCAAACTGATAGGTATGAGGTGGCATCTCAGAGTTGCTTTAATTTGCATTTCTCTAATCAAAATTATTTAGAGCACTTGTTCATATGCTTGTAGATAACTGATTTCTCCAACTGAAAACTGTCTGTTCACGTCCTTCCATTTATAAATTGGGGAACAGCTTGTATTCTTATAAATTTGACTTGGTTCTCTATATATTTGAGAAATGAGGCTTTTATTAGAGACACTTGCCATAAAGATTGTTTCCCAGCTTTCTGCTTTTCTTCTAATCTTGGCTGCATTGGCTTTGTTTGTACAAAAGCTTTTTATTTAATATAATCAAAATTATCTATTTTACATTTCATAATGCTCTCCATCTCTTGTTGGGTCATGAAGATCTTGCTCTTTTAATTTGCTTATGGGGTCACCCTTTATATTTAAATCATGCACTCATTTTGACCTTATCTTGGTATATGGTGTGAGATGTTGGTCCACCCCTAGTTTGTGTCCTATTTTTCCAGTTTTCCCAGCAGTTTTTATCAAATAGTGAGCTCTTATCACAAAATCTGGGGTCTTTGGGTTCATCAAACACTAGGTTACTAGGATTATTGATTACTGGGTCTTGTATACCTAATCTATTCCAGTGATCCACAACTTGATTTCTTGATAGTTTTGATGATTACTGCTTTATGATAGAGTTTGAGATCAGGTATTGCTAAGGCACCATCCTTTGTATGAGATGGATTTGGATGCTGGTGGAGGTGTGGCCACAGGAGTTGCCTGGTGTTTGGGGCAGAAAGGACAGGGATGTTCTGCCCTTGGTAAAGTGGGAGGCCTAGTTCTAGAATAGTGGTCAGACAGTCCTGTCAGAGAAAACTTTTCTTTGTTTCATAAACTACTATTTGTTATGTTCAGTGCTTTGTCCTCAGTCCAGAGATGGTTTGATGTTTTAAATCAGTGGCTTTGGGCCAGTTCTCAGGAGAAAATAATGATGCAACTTTGGCTCTTTCCTGGAAGCTGAACCATCCTAGTAGAAAAGTCTTTAGGCTAGGGCTTTTTGGTAAAGTCTGTACAATTCCACACAGGTAGGATCTCGGTGAGGTGGTCCTCAGCTGTATGGCCACAATGGTACAAAATCTTAGGGAGGTGCCATGGTCCTGACAGACTACACTCAGGAGCCATTTTACAATAGAGGCTTATTCTGGTGTTTGGGTCCCAGTGGAGGTAGAGGGAACAACTGGGGAGATTGAAAATTAGTAGGAGTTATCTTGGTCCTCAATTCAGGACACTTTGGAAAGTAAAAGACTAAAGTTATCTTTTTGCTTACCATGGACGAATAATCTAGCTGTTCCTTGATAAGGAAATGAGAGTGCACAGTGATATTCAATGATGAGTGTTGGGCAACTGAGTAGCTATGGCCAGATTTTTTTTGTTGTTTTTAATAACGCAAGGGCAGAGGTGTGTTCCTTGAGTAAGATGATTAATTCTGGCCAGATATCTGAGGTAAGGAGTTGGCTCAGCCCTAGAACCAAGGTGATATTTTTCCTACAATGATACTATCTAATTTCAAGCACCTGAGAACAACTCTGTCTTAATATTGTTTAGACAGTCTTTTAGTAGGAAATAGGAAAGGGTTTCAAATGAAGGGGAGAGAGTATAGGAGTAGGAAAATGTTGTACCTCTGGTTTGTATGTGAAAGACAACTATTAAATTGAAAATAGCTCACACCTATATATCACTTTAATCTTTTTTTTTTCCAAGCCAATAACTATTTATCAAAGAGACCAGGCCCACTTTAATAAATAGGACTTCAGGATCCTTTAATAAATAGGATCCTCACAATCTGAGATGCTCCTTTTCTCCAGGGCCTTGGTTTTATACTGCTTGATACCCAGATGATAATAGATGATGCAAAGTATAATACAAGACTTCACTGGTTGACAGACCTTACCTTGACTCTCCTGGTGGGCCAGTAGAAAGTGGGCAAAGATGATGGTCAGCATGACTAAATGCTCCTGGCCATTCCCTCATGTTGAGCAACAAAGAGAGATGATGAAGGGTTGAGGGGCAACAAAAATAGCTGGGGAACTTTCCATATTGTTAGTGTTGCAGTTTGAGAGGTTGAGAGGTTGTGACCCCTCAAAGAACGGAGTGCACAACGGGGTCATCTGGAATGAATTTACAGACTCAAGCATTCTTTAAGTCAAGGTGGCAAAGATTTATTGTTACTCTTTTCAGCGGGCAAGGATTCTTAAGGATCCTGCCCACTTTACTCTTTTCAAAAGGCTTTCTTATCTTTTTTTTTTATACAGACAAAAGAGAATTGTCCAGACATGTTTCCTCTGGGGAACACAGTCCAGCATTAAAAGTATAAAAAAAGGCTTTGTTTTTTCCTTTTTGTCCATGTTTCAAAATATAATGGTGAGAGCTATTACTCTAACCATAAGGTTGGGTGCTAGCAATGGCAATGTAGCATCCCAGTGCCAAGTAATGTGCCCAGTGTTTGCAGTATGAAGGGTAGGTGGCTTTGACCTTGGTGGTATATTTGGACCCTGATAAACTTGGAGCTTTATTCCTGGAATGATGGCCAATCCATCGTATCAGGGAAGCCTTTGCTTTGCTTTGTAGATCAATATTTGATGTTTTCAGTGCCTTTTCTTTAATCCAGCCATGGTTAGATGCTTTTAAATTAGTGGTTTGGGGCCAGCATTCAGAACAAAGTGATAATGCAACTTTGATTCTTTCCGGATAGTTGAAACATCTTAATAGATCACCTGTATTACTTCCATGCTGCTTGACTCTGAGTAAAACTTCCTATGCCTCGAATCTTAGGAAGGTATCCTAATCCTGAAATAGGGGCTATGGTCCAATGGAGGCTCCTTCTGAGGGTTGGGTGTTTGTGAAGAATAGAGAGAATAGTCAATGCTCACTAACAAGATTTAGGGAACTATTCAGTTGTGGTTGAATATTTTAGGTGTAGTAAGTGGAGAGGTACTTTCTTGGAATAAGAAGACTTTAGTATGACTGGAGGATTGATATAAAGACTGAACTCAGCCCCAGAATCATTTTTAACTTGTTCCCATGAGAGTGCTATCTGTTTGTGGGAAGCCAACAACAACCTTGGCTTGGACATTTCCAGAAATACTTTTGGCAGAAAATGGACTGAAGTTTCTAAAGAAGAAAAGATAGTGTGAATAAGGATAGAAGGTAAATATTTCATCAAATTAATTTCAAAATCAAATTTCATCAAAATAAACATCAAATATGTAGAAGAACACTCATCTCAGTATTCGATATTTTTTTTTTTAAAGCCTCCCTTTTTGTATTTACCCATGGTCCCATCTGGTATCAAGAAAACTGTTACTCCAATCATGGACCTGAGAGCTAGTGCGACCATAGAAATTGTAGTCATTCAATATTTTGAGTATAAAATACGGATTTTTTGGCCCTATTAGTATAACTGGACCCAATGAATTTGTAGCACATCCTTTGAATGGCTGCAGTGTGTCCTATCAGAGAAGCATTTGCTTTGATTCTAAATCAGTTTTTTATGTTTTTGGTTCGTTGTCCAAGGCCCAGTCAATGTTTGATGTTTTTAAAATTAGTGCCATTTGGCCAATGCTGTAGACAAAGTTATAGCACAACTCTGCTTCTTTTCTGAAAGTTGATATAGCTTAATGGAGCACTTATAGTCCTTCCATGTTACCTATGCCTGGGTGAAACTTTAGATGTCTTTCAGCTACGGATTTTGGATGCAAATTTAGCTATAGATGTACTTATTGGTGGAATCTTAGCCTGGTGGTCCTCAGCTAGATGGTCACATGACTGGAAAATCTTACAGAAGTGGCCTGGTCCAGAGAGAGACTCCATCCAGGAACTATGATCCACTGGAGGCTTATTCTCCT